GGCATAAAAGGGTAACATTTTGCGAAAAAAATCCACCACGATGCTTGTGGCATCCACACGTGTTCCTGCCGTCAACTGGGCAAAATTTTTTACTCTAGAAAAACTTGGCCATTCCGCAAAACAAGGTTTAAAAGAAACCTGTCATTGCTACATTTTTATAACTTGTTTAAACTTTCCCTCTTTGGTTCCCCTTATTTCAGCAACAGGAAATCTACAGGAGGACAAGGAGATGAATGATGTTAGCATGGGGAAGGATGATTCAGCTGATTCAGGAGTGTCTTTTTATCCTATGCCCCAGAATGCAGCCAATCAAGAGCAGGAATCCTTGCATATTAAATTGTTCGGCATACAAGGGTAACATTTTGCGAAAAAATCTACCACAATGCTTGTGGCATCCACACATGTTCCCGCTGTCAACCAACCAAAATTTCTTATTCTAGAAAAATTACCAGACGGGACCGAAAAGTTGACTTTCAATTGCGCGCCCCACAGGTTGTAATGATCACAGAAGTAAAGTTTACCTGTTAATGTCTTATAACTTGTAAAGAATTACAATACAAGGAATTCTCAATATAATTCCACCACAGCAATATCTCCGTGGTTTTAACCACCTGCAGCGAGCTTTACATGCAAAGAAAATAATCCTCAAGTGTCTATGGTTCAAAATGGCACAATGGTGACTGTTAGGCAGAAGTGTGCCAAATGCATTAAGGGATATGTGTGGACCTCTCAAAGGATGATGCCTCATGGAAAATATCCAGCTGGTAATGTCCTATTGAGTCTTGCTGTTTTGATGGCTGGTGCCTCTATCAGCAAGATTCTCCTTGTGTTTCGTCACATGGGACTGGTTTGCTACTCTGCAAGGACATTTTTTAAGCACCAAGGATCGTTCCTATTTCCAGCTGTTATTCACCATTGGGAGTGCTACCAGACTGAACTTCTCAATAAGGTCAAGGACCTGAAGGATGTAGTTTGGGCTGGGGATGGCCGGTATGACTCCATGGGGCACTCAGCGAAGTATGGTGCATACACATTGCTATGTACAACCATCATGAAAATTGTACACTTTGAGCTTGTTCAGGTATGAAGGTTTTATAAGTGAAGCCCTTCAATATAAAAGACATGACATGAAAGCCACCATTTATTAAAACCAAGAGAGAGTGCAGTTAAACAAAATAAGGTGTTACTCAACCTTGAAAAATTGTATTCAGTTCTAGTGATATAGAACCCTTACAACACATCTTCTTGTCATCCAATGAAAATTTTCAGTAAAATTACCCATTTACTTTGTTATGTGAATTGACCTTTTTTTTACCTTACCATTGTAAAAATATAGTTTCAAGCATCTATTAAAAACAAGATGTCTTGGACCCGCCAATTATTAAAGATTTAATAGATCTCTTTCCCAAAAAATTTCTTACCGGCAAATGAGACTGGTAGCAGCTACCAAACAGAGCTTGAAGGAGTAAAACAGTGCTTTGGCTTTCTGCAGCAGCTTGGCGTTAAAATTGGGGTGTTTATCTCTGACCGTCATAGAGGTATAGCCAAATGGATTAGAGAAAACGGCCCTGGCACTACTCACTTCTTTGACATTTGGCATGTGGCCCGGTCAGTTACCAAAAAGCTGCTTGCTGCATGTAAAGAGAAGGGATGTGAGATCATCCAGGATTGGATGAAGGGAATTCGCCGACACCTTTATTGGAGTGCTACATCTACCAAACCTGGTTTTGGCAGCCTCATCCTGGCTAAGTGGCATTCATTCCTCCGACATGTTGCAAATAAACATACTGACCACCCTGACCCACTCTACAAGGTCTGTAATCATGGAAACCTTCCATCTAGAAAGTGGATCAAAATTGGTGAGGATGTAATTTTTATTGTATTTATAGTTAAAGGTCACAGCTGTTGGAATATTGTCTTTCATTTTAGTGTACCAAAAGTTCATGTACACCCTTTTACTTTTTATTGTAGGTACTGCTGCCTATGACAAACTTAAAAGCCTTCTCACAGGCAAAGCATTGCTGAAGGATATAAAGCAGTTGTCTCCAGATGCCCAAACAAGTTGCTTAGAGGGGTTTCATGCCACCTTGAACCACTGGCATCCAAAGATGATTGGTTTCTCTTGGCTCGGCTCCTTTTGCAGGTAGTACTAAATTTTTGTTGTCAAATACAAAAAATTATGTTACAAAAACAGTTACTGTCCAACATACATTTTTACAATTAATATTGGTTTTTCGTGACTATTGACTACACAACAGTTAGTACTTAATTGACAACCAGTGGTTTCAACATATTTTGAAGTAGGTGCCTGACCCTGGAAAAGTAGGCAGCTGTTACAATCGAGATTGTTTGTCAAGAGCTGATTGTTATGACCAGAGTAGCCGGCGACATGCAATCAAGTAGCCAGTTTAACTGCGGCGGTAACTGGCTTGTTTTGAAACCCCTGATTGACAACCCATTTCAATTCATTGCACCCTCCTCCTGCCCCTCTTGTCACAGAATGCTTTTTTGGAATTTGTTTTCAGACACATCCTTGCCAGTCTCCACTTCAATGAGAATCTTCATAGGGATATCTAGGTAACCAGGGATGGTAAAAAGTATGTTCGAATCACATAACCAAAAATTCAAACTAGGTGAGGAGGTTGTTGAGGAAGTGGCTACACCCCAACATATGGTAAGTTGATTGTAGAGTGAATCACTGTTATACTAATAATTTTTACTTTTTATCCTTTTTAGAATAGTTCTAATATTTTACAAAAAATAAAAAAGGATAAGAAAGGATGTCAAGTGAATAAAACTTGCTTTTCAGACTGCAGTGTTATCCACAACCTTTGCATGTACATTATTTCATGGCAAACTACTTTGCAGTGGCTAGAATACTGACAAACTTATAAGGATGTAAATATGATTTTACGCGTATGTACATTTAATCAGCACAGAATATTTAAAGTAAATATTTGACAATTTTGTTTTGTATAGGGTATGCTGAAGATATAAAAAAGCTGCTCTTTAATTTGTCTAAACAAGAGATGAAAGAGGTTTTTGACAGATATTCTGCCCGGACTCCAGAACCCCTCCCTGCTCAATTCAGTGGTCGTGTTGATAAGGAAACAGCAGTAAAAACACCCGAAGAGAAACAAGGACAAAGAATCAGCACTCAACTTTTCCCAGCAAGTTATTACATTTCAATTATTGAATAAATACCTATAAGGTTATTCTGAGGAGGGGAAGATAAAGTATTTGCACATGTACAGGCAAAATAAGAGTACAACCAAAACTCTGTCAATACAAGAAAGTGGCACATCATTAATTGATAGTTCACAAAACTTCAAATAAAATTTGCTTGACGTAGCATTTTTGTTTCTTCAGAGGAAGAGCAAGAAGTCCTGCAACAAGCAAGCTGCAGTTTTAACAGCCTGCCAGTGGCTCTAGGGCAGTAAGAAAGTGCTCAAAATGCAGAAGACCAGGCCACACCAGAAGAAAATGTCCTGAATAAATAATGTTGAAAAAGAAACCTTCTACAATTAACTCCTTTGAAATCCACACTGTATGGGTGCTTTTTTAGTAAACTGCATGAAAAAAGCATTTCAATCAAAAATCAATAGTAGAGTGTTACGTGTAACTTGAAGGAAACAAAAAAATGAAAAATATGAGCCCAAAAAACAGTAGTTACATTGTGGTGGGTTACCCCCTTTAAAATAATTCCCTTGCGCATGAAAATAGCATAAACAAATTAAGCAAAATCATGTTTGGCTTAATTAACATGGCTGATTATTATTGTACATTTGATAAAACTGATGATATACTATGCCAAATAAAATCTATTCTGGCAGTGTGTTTCTGTATCCTCTTGATTGCAAAGTCTGGTAACGAGACCTGATGTCATGATAAACACAGGCTGGAAGGCGCCTTGTGTTTTCCCAGCCCATATACCCACAAAGCCAGCAAATCATCCATCTTTAAGCCACTGCACGAATGAATGTGGAAAAAAAACTAACACGGCTAAGCAAGGAAGTGATCTGAGGTCGTATCTATAGATCTTGCCACGGACCGTGTTTTGGAAAGCATATACCTGCCAACTCTCACGCCTTAGGCGTGAGTCTCATGCCTGCGGGTTGAAAACTTCGATCTCACGCCGGCTCACGCTTGCGGGCCAATTTCTCACGCCTGTCTTTCTTGACACAATTTCCAAAAATATGTTAGCTCAGACCCATGTAAGGAATTAAAACCATGTGTAAAATAAATAAATGGCAATACTCTGATTTTGTGGATAAGCATTTTCTCGATAACTTCGCCGTCGGTAGACGTCGGACGTCTTCGGAAGACTTCAGACTTCTTCGAGAATCTTCGGAAATGATCGTGTCATCTTCAAAAATCCCAGCACTCCCAGGATAAAAATCTCATGCTTATATCTGAGAAAAAGTTGGCAGGTATAAAAGCATTGTGACGAGTTGGCAAACACTCAAGCTACGCAATACAGTATTCTACTGAAAAATTTTCGGAGCCCTGCCTGCGCGCCTGAATTTTCCCGGGTTGTTTGTAATTTTTCCAGGGAAATTTTGGTGGGTGAAAGCGGTTCTAGCCCAGATCAGGCCATTAAATTTTGTTGCAAAAGTCCATTACCTGGTAACTTAGATTCGCAACTCATACATTTTTGAAAACGGCCATTTAACAAAAATGATTGGACATTGGATTCTCATACAAACATTGTAATTTCTTACCCTTCAAGATGGCTTTCAAAACTGTGGCAAGGTCTAAACAATAGAACTCTTGCCCTTGTTGTCCTTCTAACTGTTACCCAAACATTTCAGCAAAAATTTCTAGTCTGCAAAAATAATAAAGCTTGCAAGGGAGAGAATAATAATATATCTGGAATTAAAATTATTTCTCACTTGTTCTCTGGAACTCCAGATGGTCGGCGGTAGCTTCGGCCATCTTTGTTTCTCAACAATGGAGCCACTTGAAGCAGAACCGTCCTGTTGCTTAGAGCTGCGTAGTCTTCATGCTGTTATACAGCTGATGCGTTTGATGGATCCATCGAAGACAAGCTTCCCCGATGAATGGAACACCTTTCTACAACAACGAAACTCCAGTGCCCCAACTAAATTCATGTCGTTGCATAGCTCACATTGGCACCTGAGAAGGCAGGGGAAAGAACGTGAACATAAAAGACGAGCTTCTCCCAGATATAAATTGCCAGGAAAGAAAAATGCCATACAAATTATTTTGAAATAGCTATACAAACCAGGAAGTAACTGGAACCGTTCTTTCATATCTGGCCTCTAACACAGTTGGTGTAAGGCCATCCGCATCAGCATCTTCGTTCTCTTCTTCCATATCTGGTTCGGCGGAAGCGTCTGCATAGGGTTGAACAAGACTAAGAACAACCTCTACATCTACATCATCATTTTCTATTTCCTCTTCTGGATCTGTTTCTTCTGAGTCCCTTTGTTCAACGCTGCGTATTTCCGAATTGCTTGACATCTCTCGACTAAGCTCTTTATGCTATCTTGTAAACATACACTCGTGGTGCAACCAAAATGACGTCACTCGACCCAGTCTCCTGTAATCCTTTGACCATATTTTGGTGCAAAATAGGTCAACTTCAATCACTTATAAAATTGGCAGTTTTTACTCAAAACATCTCAAACTTTGGAATCGAGAATTTCAAATGATAAAGATTTTAACTGAATAAAAATAATTTTCGGTTCATATGCACTTTAAATAAAAAAAAACAGGGAGGTGACATCAGGAGAAACAAAAAGGTATCAAGTGCTGGAATACAGAAGAAAGTGCTTACGAGCCCTCAGAGCTAAGCATTGAGAGAAAGCCGCCCCAAGAAGCTCCCAGCAACCTTCAAGCCAGGGGAGCCTGGAATTTCACTCTGCACATTCGCAAACCTTACCAGAATTAGACAAACATTACATCATTAATCTTAAATTACTAGGTGAAGGATTAAGGCAGTGCCAAAAGTGCCATGCTGGACCATTATCACTCGACGACAGATGAAAGACACCCATGCATATACGACTTGGTGTGGTTTTGCATGTTAAATACAAGGATTGCAAAGAAGAGAACAAGAGCAAGCCATACTGTTCTCACAGAATGGGTAGACGAGGCCCTAAAACAGTCACACTGAATTCAAGGGCAGCATTAGCAATGATTCATACTGGCTCGCACAGCCACCTGAAAGCCGATTCATCTATACTTGGGGTTGGTGAAATGACCAGTGCAACATTCAAAGCAAGGGAGGGTGAAGTTGGAGCAGTAATTGAGAGTGTTTGTCAGGAAAGTTGCCCACATTACGGGGCAAAAGAGGAGACGGAATCTGACATGGTAGACAGCAATTGGGATGCACTTATATCAGTGCTATATGATGGGGCATGGCAGAAGCACGGAAAGGCACAAGATTCGATAACAGGATTTGGGAAAGAGATTGGAGAGTCCACTGGAAAAGTTTATGACTATGGCATCAGATCTACATGTTGCCGCAAATGTGAGAATGCTGGTGAATCAAATGCCGAGTCGCATAACTGCAGAAAAGATCACAGTGGCTCTTCAAAGTCTATAGAGCCTGGAATAGCGGTGGCACTCTTCAACAATGTGACAGATCACGGCTCTAAGTATTCTTCTTACAATGGTGATGAAGATGGAACGACAGAAAGCCATGTCAAGTGTCAAGTTAATTACGAGACGGCAAAGAAAATAGACAAAAACCATGTAACTAAGTTGCGCTTAAGTTTGCTTGTGCTATTAACTTTTCTGAGTCTCACATCTTTTAATATTGTTTTCTATAGACCCTTTAAATGGATTGTCCCAGCTGTGTACCAAAAACCGGAACCGCCGAAAGATTCGCCAAAGTACTGGCAATGTAAACAAGATCTCGACGAGTTGTCCACTACAGCATGTGTCCCATGGGTGATTCAGCTAGCTACCAACCAGTTGAATGATTACTTTCATGAACTTTGAACTGACTAGCATTACATTGCACCAGTCAATGTGGTTGTCGGGAGCAAAATTGAAGTACCTGAAATTCCTGAGAGTCTTGTTTGGAAAAGTCTTAGCAACATCAAACGAACAGCCACGGGTCTTGATGGGATCCCTTTTTGGGTTTGGAAGGAACATGCTAAGATTTTAACACCAATTCTCAGTCACATTTGGAATTTGTCTCTGCACATGCACAACTGGCCTATGTCATAAAAAAGATCTAATATAAATCCGATACCCAAGGTTGACATACCTAAAGAAAAGTCTGACTACCGTGGCATAAATATCACTCCAGTTATAGCCAGGGCATTTCAGAAAGTTGTTTACAACACTTTCGTGAAGGGGGCTGTGGAGGAAAATCTAAGCACCACTCAATTTGCTTACCGTGAAAGTGGAAATTGCACTAGTGCACTGTTAACGATCCAGCACTTTATCAACAAACACTTAGATAATCCAGACTGTGAGGCAGTACGGGTATTCGCTATGGACTTCAGCGAAGCGTTCAATTCAGTCAGACACAAGCTACTATCTAATAAACTAAAGTTGCTGCCCCTGAATGCCTATATCATCAAGTGGTATCACATATAGTCCACAACAACCACCTTCACGAGTGGAAAGGAGTAAACAAGGGGACAACGCAGGGTAGTGTGAGCGGCCCCTACTTATTTTAAGGTGTTTCTGAATGACCCTCAAATCAAACTAGGTTCCACTCCCACTCTTTTCAAATACGCAGATGACTCAACCATTGTCGCACCAGTGTGGAAAGGAGGCAGTGATACATCTAGTGATTTAGTGGAGCCGTTTTTAACTTGGGCGAACTGTAATTCGATGAGCTGTAACCCTAACGAGTGTAAAGAACTTGTCATAAAGAAGAAAGGGAACTCCACATTCTATCCTGTTGTATGTAATATCCCACAACATGCCACTCTTGATTTACTAGGTTTGACCTTTCAGAATGACTGCAAATTTTCGGCACACACAAAAGCTTAACTGTGCAAGGCCAACAAATGTCTACACCTGCTGAGAGTATGTAGAAAAGAGCGCTACAGCCAGACAGAAATTGATTAATGTTCTTCAGCAATTTTTAGACAGATGCTATAAGGTACGCTTTATTTATACACAGTTAAATATTAGATCATTACTACAAAAACAAGATAAAGCGATTTTTCAAAAAGCTAAACGGCATGATAACCACCTTTTATTTTTTTTATCCTGTAACATTGGATATGTATTTTTATCTCATGAGGAATAAAGACATTTATTATTATTAGACAGGCGGCGAGAAAGCAGGTTGGTTTTCAAGATCGCAACAACGAAAATGCACCAAACCTTCCCAGCATCAAAATGTGATATTAAGCAGCGTTCGACGCTTCTGAAGATTAACTTGAATAATTTAGAACCTTTTTACTAAATAATTTATCACGGCTATTGAAAACACTAGGTACGCTTCATTTGAATTCAAACATACAGAATTTTTTATTTCTCAGGGGAGTTATTTGCTAAACACCAAACTTTAAGTTCCTAGTGTTGCATTTTTTAGTATCAGGTCTAGATTGCACAAAATTCGGTTTTTATCAATTTCTAATTTTTTTTTTATTGTTGACATAGTAATAACGATTTTAGTTACAACTACGTTTTGACAAACTTCAATCCATAATCAATCACTGGCAAAAATTTTATGGCGATCGGACAACAATAAAATCCGTTTTAAGGCGATTGAAAAATATTGGTATTGTCTGCGAAAAACTGTATCAAAACACCTTAAGCATAAAGCTTTATAATATGTTTAAAGCCGGCTTTCCGGAGTTTGCTGTTTTCAAAGATGAACTTGAGGCAAGAAAGTTGCTCAAAGCTTTCTTTCTGCAGCCAGAATTGTAACTAAATATTCTTCAGAACAGTTTTTCTTTCTACTTGCGGTGAGAAAATATTGACTAAAGGCTAGTTAAAGTTCTGTAAGCTTATGTCAAACCTCATACTAGGTCAGGTCATTGTCATAAATCTCAATACAAATGTGCATAAACTAGCCTCCTAAACTGAGCTCGGCCTCATGAAATTAGATACAAAAAACCACAAATACATTAATTACTCATGCTTAACACTCGAGATGCAGCTCCTGAAAGCTATCAAGTGAGACCAGAATCACTTGAGACTTTTCAACCCTCCTACGAATCCAGCAAGGTGAAAAACAAAAAGATGTCATCCGAAATCGGATTTCCGACTTTAACAAGCGACTCATTTCTCAACCAAAACAGCCACGAATAACAGAAGACTCTCAATAGCTGTTTTTCATTTTGTACATACAGTGGAAAGACAGTTAAAAACACCACAAGTTGACACAAAACTTGAATAATTTAGAACCTTTTTACTAAATAATTTATCACGGCTATTGAAAACACTAGGTACGCTTCATTTGAATTCAAACATACAGAATTTTTTATTTCTCAGGGGAGTTATTTGCTAAACACCAAACTTTAAGTTCCTAGTGTTGCATTTTTTAGTATCAGGTCTAGATTGCACAAAATTCGGTTTTTATCAATTTCTAATTTTTTTTTATTGTTGACATAGTAATAACGATTTTAGTTACAACTACGTTTTGACAAACTTCAATCCATAATCAATCACTGGCAAAAAATTTTATGGCGATCGGACAACAATAAAATCCGTTTTAAGGCGATTGAAAAATATTGGTATTGTTCGAAAAACTGTATCAAAACACCTTAAGCATAAAGCTTTATAATATGTTTAAAGCCGGCTTTCCGGTGTTTGCTGTTTTCAAAGATGAACTTGAGGCAAGAAAGTTGCTCAAAGCTTTCTTTCTGCAGCCAGAATTGTAACTAAATATTCTTCAGAACAGTTTTTCTTTCTACTTGCGGTGAGAAAATATTGACTAAAGGCTAGTTAAAGTTCTGTAAGCTTATGTCAAACCTCATACTAGGTCAGGTCATTGTCATAAATCTCAATACAAATGTGCATAAACTAGCCTCCTAAACTGAGCTCGGCCTCATGAAATTAGATACAAAAAACCACAAATACATTAATTACTCATGCTTAACACTCGAGATGCAGCTCCTGAAAGCTATCAAGTGAGACCAGAATCACTTGAGACTTTTCAACCCTCCTACGAATCCAGCAAGGTGAAAAACAAAAAAGATGTCATCCGAAATCGGATTTCCGACTTTAACAAGCGACTCATTTCTCAACCAAAACAGCCACGAATAACAGAAGACTCTCAATAGCTGTTTTTCATTTTGTACATACAGTGGAAAGACAGTTAAAAACACCACAAGTTGACACAAAACTTGAATAATTTAGAACCTTTTTACTAAATAATTTATCACGGCTATTGAAAACACTAGGTACGCTTCATTTGAATTCAAACATACAGAATTTTTTATTTCTCAGGGAGTTATTTGCTAAACACCAAACTTTAAGTTCCTAGTGTTGCATTTTTTTAGTATCAGGTCTAGATTGCACAAAATTCGGTTTTTATCAATTTC